TCTCCTGGGGGTGTGGAGTATCTCTCTAGAGTCTCTCCTGGGGGTGTGGAGTATCTCTCTAGAGTCTCTCCTGGGGGTGTGGAGTATCTCTCTAGTGTCTCCCCTGGGGGTGTGGAGTATCTCTCTAGTGTCTCCCCTGGGGGTGTAGAGTATCTTTCTCCTATCTCACCTTCGGAAGGTGTTGAATATCTTTCCGTAACTTCCCCTAAAGGTGTGGAATATCTTTCAACTGTCTCACCTCCTGAATATATTGAGGATTGTTTAGTTACATCTGAAGGATTAAAATATAAGTCAGGGGACTTTGGAGATTCAAAATATTCAACAGATGATGGTGGGGTATAAAACTGATCTAACTCAGATATTTCTTCACTAGTTGTACTTCCCACACCAATGGAAATGTCAGACTCAGGAGAAAATGGACGACCTAGTGATTCCTGTTTCTGGTTGTAGTATTCGTACACAGTGTTGAAAGTTACTTCTTCCACCTCCAGTGAAGTGATTGATTCACTCTGGACAAGCTTTGCCTGGTCTCTGGTGTCTTTAGTTTCAGGAACCTCATGCTTTCCAGCAGCAAGTAAATATTGTGTTAGGGAGGTCTCAGATTCCGCTACCTCAGTAGTATGTGCCTCATCTAATTTAGGAATATTTTGAGAAGAACTAGTTTCTATCATTTCTCCTAAAGTGGAGAAAGAAGTTTCATTTTGGACTTCTTCATAACATTTTTCTTCTCCAGAAGCATCAATGTTTGTAATTATTTGTTCACCTGGATTCTGTTTTTCTTCAGTCATCAAGAATGGGAAGCACTGACTCAGGGAGAGCTGTCTATGGAGTGTGTCAGCCTCCTGAGTATCACCTCTGTGGTCTTCCAAAGTGGCATCTGTATATTCCTGTGCCCCACCATCCTGCTTTGGAAATGATGCCAACTCTGGTTCTAGAGTGCATTCTTCTTCCATTTCACCAACCTCTAAAGGCTTTTCCTCACTTACTGCTTTTTTCAAATGTGAGATGAAACTTCTGTCTCCATTTTCTAGAGAACAATTTTTCTCAGAAAGATCAGTTTCTTCTATATCTGCAGATGAGGTTGGAAATAGGGCACATGATTCACTATAGATTTCTTCAGAAAAGGATTTAAGAGAAAGATCAGTTTTTAAAATGTCTAAGTTTTGTTCCTGTACATGTCGGACTTCTTTTTCTAAAGAAATGGAATTTTCATCAATACTACTTTTCTCCACCATAGTTCTACACGAAAGCTCCTGACTGGAAGAAATTTCTTGACTGGCAAATACATTATTTTGCACATTTTTAGAGATACTCTGTGTATCAGGTTGTAATGTTTCAGGGCTAGGAATTTTTTCTTTATAATATATTTCCTGCTGTTCCCCAGTTTCTTGCCCTTGGAACTCCATAGCTGGATCTCCTATATGAGAATGCATTTGTTTTAGATCAAACACAATGTTCTCAGTGTCAGCTGTTTCGGAAGCAGGATGTTGGATTTTAAAATAAGCTTCTTCTGGTTGACTACTATCTAATTCTTGGAATTTCACATCTGTGTGTTTTATTTGAGTGTGAAACTGCTTTAAGTCAAATGTAATAGGTGATTCATGTTCAACTCTTTTAGAAATTGCAGGTTTATCTATAAGACTTATTTTTTCCTGTTGTTCCCTTTCTTGTGTTTCAGATTCCTTATGAGTTTGAGAGGAAAGCAGCTTTAAATTTATTGCAATGTTAGATGAATTTGATTCAGTATTTGGAGACATTTTCTCTGTCTGACACATATTTGCATTTAGA